CATAGATAGATAGATAGATAGATAGATAGATAGATAGATAGATAGATAGATAGATAGATAGATAGATAGATAGATAGATAGATAGATAGATAGATAGATAGATAGATAGATAGATAGGTGTAAACTTTAAATTATAACTAGAAAGTGTTAACTGTTACCCCAGTGGAATAACTTTATTCCTACTGGTTATCTAATTTTTTTTGTTATTATTATGCTCCCATTGCAAAAAAAAAAAAAAAACTTGTCACACACATGCATTTTTCTGTTGCTTTCAAGCTTTTTTAGACTTTGGTTGGTGTTCTAGTTCTCAGCATCTCGCCTTCAACAGGAGGTTGGAAAAGACTGAGAAGACAACAGTGAGACTGAAGGAGGGTTTCAAAGAGGAATCATAAGGGAAAGATGGCAGGAATGGAATATCTACAGGTTAGAGGTAGGGGTTGATAACGCACAAGTCTTGGTAGTAATTTATGCTCATGTAAGGGGGAATCACAAAGCAAATTGCTGCTTATTAGTGAGGTGCTGGTTGCGTTCTTGTTTGGAAACCCAGTCGTACAATTGGGCACACGCCAATCAGGAACATAACCAGCGTCTTATTAATTAGTAGCCATTTGCCATCAAAACTTGTTTAATTCAAGTGTAAATTGGAAATGGGATGCTGTCCATTTTAAGGGTTACAGTCAAAGCATTTTTATACATGGTTCTCTTTCCTAAAGACATGTGTGGTGGCTGGTTTAAATCCTCCTTAATTGAGTTTTCTGCATGGTAAAATGAGTACCCAGCTTGCTGGGGGGGCAATGTGTAGCCTGTAGTGGTTCTCTTTCCTAAAGACGTGTGGTGGCTGGTTTATATCCTCCTTAATTGAGTTATCTGCATGGTATCTTTTTTGTAATGGCTGATTTTAGCATGTTCTAATGTTGTGTTGCAGCACCTGCATTCTGCCATTAGAGGGCACTATGGTGCACAATTAGAATGCAGTGAGCATAGAGTGGTGACATCTGGTGGCAGGTTACAGCATTACACTTCACTGAATTGTTTACTGCACATTCTTAGCTTGAACTTTAGAATATTCTTAGTAATGTAGAGTGGGAAGGGACTCTACGCCTATGAGTCATTGAGTCCAGCCCTTGCCAAGGAGTCACCATGGGGGAATTGAACTCCCAACCTCTAGCTCAGCTGCCAGATGCCTCCAACTTGTCAAATCAAATTTGTCTCTTATGATGCTACGCGGAACAGATTCATTCACTAAACACATGATCAGTTATTTCAAGTAGACAATCATGAGTAACTGACAATGGAAAATGGTAAGGTCTGAAAACAAGCAACCCTTAGATTCCCATCTGCCATCCCTATACCTTTTGATCCTGTCCTCTTGCTTCCGGGCAAATTCTTTGAGCAGCAGATTTTCATCGTGAAGCCGAAGAAACCCATCTTCCAGTTCTGTGCGGCTCACTCGATTTATCTGGCGCCGAGTCCTTGCGAGAGAGCGTGATCCTGGTTACGGGGGGAATCACAGAATTGTGTAGCTGGAAAAGACTTCAAGGATAGCTAGGTCTGACCCCCTACCAAGGCAGGAATGCCCAGCTAAAACATCTCTAACCTACTGTCATTCAACCTTCACGTGAAACCCTTCCGTGAAACAGATGAATTGCATTTGAGGATACAGATCAGCACCAGGAATAGATTACGTGAAGTTCCAAATAAAGGCCAGCACAGATTCATGGTCTCTGGCCAGCAAAGCTAGGAATGAAGGCTTCTGGGAGGTGCAGTTCAAGAACATCTGGCGACCCTACTAAACACTGTTCTTCTTCGTGGACTCTGTGAAATCAACCCTACTAAACACTGTTATACTGGAATAAAAAGCACTTTCTTTTCTGCATCTTGGGACTGTAGTTTTCCCTTATTTTTTGGACCTGACATGCTGAAATAAAAAGCACTTTCTTTGCTGCATCCTGGGACTACAGTTTTCCCTTATTTTTTGGACCTGACATGCCGGTGGAAAGACAACAAAGGAGACGCCAGCCTTAGTGGGACGTTTACTGCTAGAGACAGTGGTGCTTATTTTGAGCAAGGTTTGGCCTGACCCAGGCAACCAGACAAGGCCTTATGCAATTCACAGCCTCTAATCACTTACCTTTCGTCCAGGTTTTCAGTCCAGGCGATTTTACAGGGAGCAGAGCAGAAGATGACACATCTAGAGGAAATTAGGTGAGACGTCAACATTGAACAATTGCCCTGTTTTATATACAGTACAGAGCAAAACAAACCATTCCGTGATTAAGTGTCTGTAAAAATAACTTATATGCACAAATTGCAATTCATTCCAAGGATCTTGCTTCAGGGTTTGGAAAGAGAAGAAAGCAGACTGAAACATTTTTAAAAAGCCTGCCTACCTGAGTGTCATAGCACACTTCATAAATGTGACCTGTACCATAATCATCATTGAGGACAATGTGATTTTCCTGATGACATGGGCTTCCAGAGAGTTTAATTAATTGTTTAATTAATTAATTAATTAATTGATTGAATTTTCCTGATGAGATGGGCTTCCAGAGAGTTTAATTAATTAATTAATTAATTATTACTGCCCCACCCATCTAGACTGAAGTCTACTCTGCTGGGGTATTGCGATTTTAATTTTTGTCGTCAAAATGCAAACAAGCCAAACAAACGCACAAGCTCTTAATCTTTCTGAAAACAAAGTATAAGAAGATAATAAAAAGCTCCAAATCCCACATTCTGGAGAGAAGCGATTCCAGATCGAAATGTTGACCTCACAGGGCTGACCTCGTATGGCTGCTGTTACGGAGGGCTTCTGGCTGGTGTCTCGGACAGGCAGATCCCCTGCTGTTTCATCCAGTAAATGCACTGACATTTTTAGGAAGAGCGGAACGTGGCCTAGAATGAAGACAAAATGATACGGATGGGACCCAAGTATTGCAAAGATTCTTTTATGCTAAGCACAAATCAGGGGTTATTTTTTGGGGGGTTGGGTTTTGCTGAAATGATGATATTTCTGTGCCTCTGCTGACTCAGGCCGCGATCACACCAGTGAAATTTCCCCATTATTTCTCAGGGATTCTGAGTTTGGGTTGTGTGTGTGTGTGTGTTCAGATTCACAGCCATTACCGAATCACAGAAATTTGTCTGAGTTAATTTTTTTAATGGGAAGGGAAAACTCCCACCTACCCCAGCATTAATTTCTTCACTCTACATGGGGGGGGGGTGCGTGCGCGCGCGCATATACACACCCCAGTTTGTGCATCATTACTTTTCAGCTGCTTCAGGATACATTTTACTGAGAAAAAAACCACAATTCTATCTGGTAACCCTCTGTGTGTGCATATGTGGTTCCCAGCCCTCCCTCTCTAAAAGAAACAATTTTCAGCTTGTACATTTTTGCGTTTTGAATTCCAATTTGGAGCTGGGCAACAGTAAGCAAAAGGAAAGGGGAAAAGGAAAAAAAATGGAACAACTCCCATTTAAAAAACTATAGGAGTTTGAAGACCACTAGATCTTTTAAGCTTTAGTGGATCAAAATGTAGTTTTTCAGACACAGAGATTGCCAATATGTGTCTCTTATATTTATTCCATGGTGGCAAGAGTTATGTCCAGGGGAATATAGAGACAGCAGACAAATATCAGTAGTTCGTTAACACAGGGATCGGACTATGGAACTGCTAATTAGCAGATCCTAGTCAGGATGTTAAGGTAGACATGTCTGGCACAGGAATGCCAGAAGTAGTTTATGGAACAGAGATCAGAGTCTGTCACGAGAGATAATAATTTTTTATCCTTAAGATACTACAGAAAGCTGGGTTATTTCATATATGCAGTGCACAAAGAAGCCTTGGTCTCTGTTTAAGCCCCTAGAAGTACTCTGGAGTTTGTTTATGTAGCCAATTGGTGCCTCTTTTCAACCTCCCTTCGTAATTCCTTTGTTCAACAACAGCCACATTGAGAGCAATGACAGAGTGTCAGATCTGTATCCTCCTTTTCCACAGAGTTTGCCCTGTCTGTTGACTGTAGAAATCAGAGGGGTCCTGCTGACAGAAGCTTGCAGAAGTCACATGAGAGAACGGACAAGTCAAGAGACACCTTGTGTTGGGCTTCACACTGTTGGGACCATTGATGATTGTGTTGGTTGTAGCTATGGGGCTGTAACTGGCCTATAGGGTTGTGGCAGGATCTTGTTCCTGAACAAATCTAAAATTGGGACAAGGTTTTGTTAGCTTTTCTGAACGACGACTCCCAATTTGATTCTGCTGCTCCCGTGGTAGAATAATATACAGTACTGTTTAAAAGTCAATAAAATAAAATGAGCTTCTGGGATTGGGACAAGGTTTTGTTAGATTTTCTGAACAACGACCCCCAGTTTGATTCTGCTGCTCCCGTGGTAGAAATGAATAATATACAGTACTTTTAAAAAGTCAATAAAATAAAATGAGCTTCTGGGGTGATACACATGCCTGCCCAGGTAAGTCTATGACTGGATGATGACGACTACAGCAGTAATGTGCTGTGGTGGCCAGAGTCAGCCTAAGTGGCTGCAGTCCTTTTTATGGCTTTCTACCTTTCATATTGCTCCCTTTCATGTTGCTCTCCCTTTCATCTGCAAAATTTAAGGCAGGCAATAAAATAAAATGAGCTTCTGGGGTGATACACATGCCTGCCCAGGTAAGTCTATGACTGGATGATGACGACTACAGCAGTAATGTGCTGTGGTGGCCAGAGTCAGCCTAAGTGGCTGCAGTCCTTTTTATGGCTTTCTACCTTTCATATTGCTCCCTTTCATGTTGCTCTCCCTTTCATCTGCAAAATTTAAGGCAGGGCACAGCAGTCCTTTTTATGGCTTTCTACCATTCATATTGTTCCCTTTCATCTGCAAAATTTAAGGCAGGCTAGCTATTTTAAGGGGGATGTGGTGGTGCTGCGGGTTAAACCGCAGAAGCCTCTGTGCTGCAAGGTCAGAAGACCAGCCGTCGTAAGATCGAATCCGCGTGATGGAGGGAGCGTGCGTTGCTTGTCCCAGCTCCTGCCAACTTAGCCGTTCGAAAGCATGTAAAAATGAGAGTAGATAAATAGGGACCACCTCAGTGGTCTAGTCCAGCGCGGCCACGTGACCACGGAAACGGTCTTCGGACAAACGCTGGCTCTATGGCTTGGAAACGGGGATCAGCACCACACCCTAGGGTCGGACACGACTGGACTAAATGTCAAGGGGAACCTTCACCTTTACCTAGCTAGTTTTAATAAGCAGAGGCTTTCTTCTGGAGAGGGAACGGTTCCCTTACTATACAAGAACAGAAATGAAAAGAAAAGGAACCAGATGTTCTAGAAGGTCTGAGCCTGAGTGGTTTCATTGAAGATCAAAGCCAACTGAATCAGGGCTTGCTTGTGAGCTCTCTTTTTGAAGCTTTGAAGTTTTGCCTGCTGCCCTTTGCTAACACGAGAATTATTTATCCTCTCTCTAGTTGCATCTCCCCATGCCCCACTTCTGCTTCCTCCGGTATATCCAAGCAAAACAAAACAAAACAGAAAACCAAGAAAGGAGGAAGGAGACAAAGACGGTCTGAAAAAGTCAACGCGTCCCACTAAAATATAGCCATCGGGCTTCGAGGTCTTTGTCTTCTTTCTCTGCTTTTGCTTTGTTTTCTGTTTTTCTTTAGCCTGCTCGCACAGCCTAAAATGCCACTTCGCCTGGCATCTTCCACAATCTAGCTTTGCCTCTTCTTCCCCGCCCCCCCTTCCCTCTGCCGGGTGGGGGCCTGGCCTTAAAAGGGCTTCCAGTCTCCCCACCCCTGCAAAGGAGCGTCTGTGGGCAGTGGAGATTTGCTTCCCCCGCTAATCTGCTGCCATCTGTCCAGCAACGGGCAACCAACCCAGGGGGATTGTTCACGAGTAGCCTCAAGGCAGGGGACGGCCACAATTGGTGGCTGCCCTCCGAGATCCTTTGGGGGGGCTAGAAAAACAGCCAAAATAAACGCCAAACCCATAAAAGTGGAAGTGGAGATATTTGACGGGCCAGATTCTCCCCCCCCCCTTTCTCTTTCTCTGTGTGAGACAGAGAATCACTTGGAGATTTAAAAAAAAACATTTTATGGCCCACCATTTTGCCCACCACCCCTGCTTTAATTGTGTTGGACGCTCGATATCATCATCATCATCTTAGAACGAAGATGGTCTTTGTTTTGCTGCTTCATCTCATTCTCTGTGTATATGCACACAAACATACACAGGATTTTCTTATGCCTCATCATGGCCTGTTGTCAAGCAGGTTGTGAAAGAGGGGAAAAAGCTGTCAAATCTACTGCAAGAAGGAGCAAGTAGCATGAGCCTATGTAGCATAAACGGTGCTTTCTTGAATTGAAAGAGGATGGGTCTCTGTTTATTTGTTTGCCTTGCATACAGCCCTTTCTTAAGAAAAGTACAGTATGGTCATCATACTGATATCCATCCATCCATCCATCCATCCATCCATCCATCCATCCATCCATCCATCCATCCATCCATCCATCCATCCATCCATCCATCCATCCATCCATCCATCCATCCATCCATCCATCCATCCTTTCTCCTTAAAAAGAGACAATCTAGTCTAGATGAGCCAAAGTTCTGCCTTAGTTTCCTGTAAGTGATGTACAGGCTTAGATGTTACATTATTAAAATAGATCCTTTGTCAAATCTGCTTGCAGAATTACTAACTCTGTTATTGACATCCCCACGAAAATATACTGTAAGAGAGAGAAAAGGAAAAAGATATACTCCTCTTTGCAGAGGCAAATGAATTCTCAGTAGTTGTATTAATTTATTAAATCATCATCTCCCTGGTGAACATGCTCCAACTTGGCCTGCCTGGGGAACAGAGGGTCGCTTGGTCCCATCTGGTCCCCAGACAGGGGGAGATGAACAAACTAAGGTCTAAGCCATTGTTGCTCAAATTCATTAGCTAGATTTTATCTGAGTGCAAGAACATTTTCTTTCTCTCTCTCTTTCACTTTGCTAGACTAGAATGATGGCAGTGCTTGGGAAGGAAAAGCTAATCATGAGACAAGATTATATCCTATAAATTTAGAAATGGCGCCTTGAAGGAGGTAGATCCAGAAGCAACCCAGCTACGGACCCATGACGGCCCAGCCAGAGTTGGGAGCGAGATACAACATGGTCCCCAACCACACTGAGCGCAAGGTTGACCCAAGACATTTTGCCGCCTGAGGCCAAGAAGCAAAGGCTGCTCTCCTCCCCGCAGGACGCAGGACCACAGTCTCCAAAGTCAGGTAAGCAAATTCTTTTGGCGACTCTACGAGGACGTCCCCGAGGCACCTCTTGCCAACTTTGCTGGCAGAGATCCTATAACCACAAACCTTTAACCGTGGCTTTGCTTTTCGCGACGTCCCCAAATCTCTGCCTAATGATAGAGCCGGCCTTGATGAGGCTTTTGAAAAATGCCCACTTCTCCAGAGGGAGACACCAACAGTTTCTTACTGGTTTCACCCAGTTCTTTCAGCCATGCCCCCCCCACCCCCAGTTTGGGCCAATTCGCCTCATTCTTTTACATTCACGGCTGAAGAGCTTTGGGCTCTAAACGGGGTTAAATTAACTCCAAGACATAAACTGTTCACAGTGGTTTAATCTTAAGAACATTCCCAGAAGAGCGTCGACAGTTTCATAATACCGCTGGGCGTCCTTATTATAGAATTGTGAGTCAGGCATGTCAAGCTAGTTTCACTATGTAGTAGGAGGCAGTAAAGCAGCGAATGGGGGAGAAGAGGAAGCCTATCTGTCTACGTTCATTTAAGCACAGATGTGGTAAAGTTAGGACAGACCTCGTTTGCTGTTTAGGAGGTTTAACTTGTCAATAGCCCCACAGGAGATGAC